AATCAGCCTAGGCTGCATCCAGACTGCCTCTCACTAGCTGTGTGATGTTGGTCAAACTATTCTCATTCAACCCACATTCTTCATCTATAAAACATGAACAGTAACAATAGTACTTGCCCTATGGGACTGTTGTAAGGACTAAAGGAATTAAAATCCCAGGCTATAGAACACAGAAAGGACTTAACAAATATAAGGTATTATTTTTCTTATATTTTTTTCTTAAATATATGTATGAAAATATTATATTTTTACATTATGAAGAACAAAAATATCCAAAAGCTAGAATAAAAGTTGTCATGTTCATGATACCATCCTCTGGTGACTAGTAGTTTAAATGGAGAGAGAGGGAAGCAGGGAAAGAGGTGAGTGGGAGAGAGAGGGAGAAAGAAAGAGAACAGGAGAGAGAGAAAGGGAGGGAGAAAGAGAAAAGGAGAGAGGAGAGAGAGAAAGAGACAAGGAGAGAGAGAAAGGTAGAGAAAGAATAAATGAACAAGTTCTGGCAAAGTTTTGGTAAAATTGGTATAAGTGTTGGCAGTGTCTTAACTTGGACAACTCAACAATATTTTCAACAGTCATTAAAATATACATATTTTTAAAATAAGAAATCATATTCATGGTAGATTATACTAAAAAATGCAAGATATAAAGATATTTTCAAGTCATTAATAATCTAAATATTATAAAAAATTAAAAACAACCAAAGTTCAAAAAAGATCTATTACCCAGGCAATTAAAAATATATTTATCACTGTAGCCACATATTAACAGTTGATATAATATTAAGTGTATTATATGTTTAGTATATTTATGATGTACTGTTAAGTACATAGGTAGTATACGAGAAAAATTTTAAAGAGGAAGTAAAAACCTTCATCTACTTGATCTTTCTATTTTTTTATTCCTTATTAAATATAAAATAAGTGAAAACTAATATCTTCTAATATTGTTTGTGGTTTTCAAAATAACTTTAACCATCCTATTAGCTAGTAAAAATAATTTAAATTTGACTCCTACGCAATAGTACTACGTGGTGATAATGTATCAGTAGATTTCACATATATTATTAATTTTTTGTAAGAATTAACTCAGATATAAACTTTAGCCCAAACCAAAGGGCCCTACAAAAATGCTAATGATAGCAGTGCGGTGACTGGCAGTGGAGACCAAGGTCTATGGTGCACCCTGACTTGCAGCCTGTGAGCACCCTTTCCAAACCCTATTCTAGAGGGGCTGGGGATTTAGCTCAGCGGCAAA